GGCTAGGGATTCGAACCCGCCACCTTAGGTGTATGTGGCTGGCGCCTTAGCCGGTTGAGCTATAGGTGCCAAGCCAGTAAGCTAGGTTTTATTTACAGAGGTATTATTACAGCTCTTACAAAGAGCTAAACCTCCTTACAGAACAGGGTATAAGTGTTATAGCTCTTACAAAAGCCAACCTCCTTGCAGAGCAGGATGCAAGTGTTACAGCTCTTACAAAGAGCCAAACTTCCTTGCAGAGCAGGGTATAAGTGTTACAGCTCTTCCTGTGATGCCATGGCACTCTACCAAGGGTGACATAGTGAGACTCTGTCTCAAAAGAAAAAGAATTCCTGAGTCTAACTCCAGGTAAGCTGCCAGTATTGTTCTTGTTTTCTTTTTTGAGACAAAGTCTCACCCTGTCCCTTGGGTAGAGAGCTATAGTGTTATAGCTCACAACAACCTCAAACTCTTGGGCTCAAGTGAACCTCTTGCTTCAGCCTCCCAAGTAGCTGCAAGTATAGGTGCCTGCCACAACCACTGGCTAGTTTTTTCTATTTTTAGTAGAGACAGGGCCTCACTCCTGCTCTGGGTGATCTTGAACTGAATTCAAGCAATCTACCTGCCCCAGGCTCCCACACTGCTAGGATTACAGGCATGAACTGCCGCGCCTGGCAAGCGCTCTTCTCTTTGAGCCCTGGTTGCCTCATCTGTAAAAATGTGGGCTTGAGCTGCATTGCCTTCAAGGTTCCTTCCAGCTTTAAGTTGCTGTCAGTACAATTCCCATGGTCTTTTCCGAAGCAAGCCTGTGTCCCAGGAGCAGGTATGTACTGGGCATTATGTGTCAACTGAAAACAGTGTCCTCAAGGGCCCTCTCCCTCCCCAGGGAGCAGGCCAGGACCACAGAACTGTAAGAAGCTTTGGTTGTCTTCATTATCTAAAAATCAAAAGCAGGAGAATCCTCAGGAGTCCCCCCATCCTCCCTCCTGATGAAGGACACAAACAGCTTCATTAGTCAACTGCTCGATGTCCACGGACCTGGCTGCTTTTTTTGCACAAGAAGTCCCCAAAGCCCCCTTGCTTTTCTCTGAGCTGCAGATGATGGACTTTGTACGTTAGCTCAGAGCCATTCTTGTGTTTGTCTGGGGACCTGGGTATCTGTTGTCCTCACTGGTCCTCACTCGGATACCAGCCGAGTACCCCTAGAGGGTTGTCAGCATCAGAGGAGAAAAGGTTCTTCTCTGTCTCCCTCCTGGAAATCCAGCCTCACTGCCACTGTCACTGTGGCACAGAATGCAGGGTGTTATGTCACTTCCTGTGTTCAGGTGTATCCTGCTAGGATTTTGTCACATATTGCCTCAATTACAGCTTCCTGTCTTAGGCTTAGACACTCTGCTTTTACTGAAATGTCCCTTAAAATGATGTTCATTGGTTGTAAAGAGATTTTATCTGAGGCAGCAAATGAAATTTTGGTGCCAGATCTGTTATCAATGCTTCCTCATCTGCATCCTATGAGCAGCTCTGCGGGGGTTCTTTTTGTTCTGTTTTGTTTTTTGAGACAGAGTCTCACTATGTCGCCCTTGGTAGAGTGCCGTGACATCACAGTTCACAGCAACCTCAAACTCTTGGGCTTAAACCAGGGGTCCTCAAACTTTTTAAACAGGGGGCCAGTTCACTATCCCTAAGACCATTGGAGGGCCGGACTGCAGGCCTCAGAGGAGTTGGCTGCTAAGCAGGACAGGCAGAAGAGGTAAAAACACCTGGCAGGCCGGATAAATGTCCTAGGCAGGCTGCATGTGGCCCACGGGCTGTAGTTTGAGGATGCCTGGCTTAAGCGATTCTCCTGTCTCAGCCTCCCAAGCAGCTGGGACTGCAGGTGCCCGCCACAATGCCTGGCTATTTTTTATTGCAGATGTCATTGTTGGTTAGCTGGCCTGGGCAGGTTTGAACCCACCAACTTCCGTGTATGTAGCTGTCACTGTAACCATTGAGCTACGGGCTCCGAGCCAGCTCTTCAAGTTTCATGTGAACACCCTTAGGGATGGGGAGGCTTGTGTAAAGGAAAGCTCCAGAAAAGGTTTATCCTGCCTCTTGACTGTTTTCCTCACACTGGTCTGAATCAGGCAACATTCACACCCCAGGCCCTGAGCTACGTGAAAGATGTAGAAAGATAAACAACATCCCACCCCACTCATTTGCAAAGTCTGAGCTACTGTTAGTCAGTGTGACTAGAATTCCTGGGCCTCTTGGCTCACAGAATCAACCCTTTCATCACTTGAATTTTGCAAAATGGGTTGCATTTATAAAACTTTACCTCCAAACTCATAAACACACAGTAACCAGACACATTCAACATCTCTGCTCTGTATTCTTCCTGTCCGTGAGTACCAGGGGTAAAGATAGCTGAAAAATTGGGGGCTATGGGTGATGTCTGTGGCTCAGAGGAGTAGGGTGCCAGCCCCATATGCCAGAGGTAGAGGGTTCAAACCCAGCCCCAGCCAAAAAAATTTTTATTTTTTAAAAAAATAAAAATTGGGGGCTATTAATCTAGACATCTCAGAGTTTTGCACAAACTGGCTGTGGACTTAGGCAGGACTGCTTCTTCAGGGGTGTTTTGGAAACATCAGTAACACTGGCATGGAGCAGATCTTGTATTAAAGAAAACGCCAAATAGAATTCCTACCTTGTTAAAAGTGTTAGTGAAGGGTGGCACCGTGGCTCAAAGGAGTAAGGCACCGGCCCCATAGGCCAAAGGTGGTGGGTTCAAACCCAGCCCTGGCCAAAAACTGCAAAAAGTGTTAGTCAAGAATTCTTTGTTTGCTTTTAGAGTTTTTGTTAAATATGAGTTCCAAATATCCCGAACTAGCAATCAAATCTTCTCTCCCTGAATCCACCCGCCTCAGCCTCTCAGAGTGCTGGATTACAAGAGTGAGCCACAGTAATCATATTGTAGGAAAAAATGTTAATTTTTTAAATAAATATTTTGCTATAAGGGCAGTGCCTGTGGCTCAC